ATTTGGAAAGGGCAGGCACTTTCAAAAATACTTGGCAGGTGATTGGATCAATCTGTCTATCACCTTCTATCATGGGCCACTTCTGATTGGTTAACAATGGCTGCTACATGTGGAGCACAGCACTTCTGATTGGCGTGGATGACTGACACACAAGAAGAACAAAATAAAATAAAAAGTTAAAAAAATATCGCAGGCTTTGTGATTTGATAATCGCATCATTTCAAATCGCAATTTCGATTTAAAATCGATTAAGCGTTCAGCCCTAATCAGTACTGACTGATGGTGTTCGAAAAATACAGAGTGAGTTTTACATTTAAATTCATACAGAGAATATTTAGCCCGGGAAAACTAAGAAATGGAACAATTATTTATTTTCACATTTAGGTTTTTATTTCTATTTGCCAAGAAACAATAGAAATGCCAACACATTGTATCGACAAGTAGCCTATTGTTACTTTATTTAAAAGACCAGAATCGTCTCTTAGCCAAAAGACTAGAAGGAAAGCCTATTGTGCATAACAGGCTTTGATAATACATGTGGACACATGATCAGAAAAAAGGAAACTAATTATCGGAGAATTGTTAGATCATGGATGAAGTCCCTTACTATTAGCCTGCAGTTTATTTCAGGAACCTTTTAAAATAGAGGAAAATATGTTTTTTTGTACAGAACAAGAGCACAAAGTAATTGCTATCTGCCCGGACACTGTGTAACGCCACTAGATAAAAGTGCTTTAATATTAATACATCTTCAATAGACATCATTAATACAGCAGCATTCACCAATATGTACTACGGTCATTTGTACAGTAAGACGACAGAGGATGGAATAAAGTATTTTGTTGTTTGTTCGTCATTGCTGTGAGCACCATATTTCGTCAAGAGATTTGTAAAAATTCATAAGCTGTAGCTGACTAATATCTGGCCTTGTTGGTGGGATAAGAGTGTTATAGTCCTGTGTTCTCAGACTCAGACTAAACTCTGATTCAAGTCACCGACGTGAGCTACTCCAATGGAATTCATTGTTGGCAACAACCGTGTCATAAGTGATATCACAAGTGCTGTTTTCCCACCACTTTACAGTAGTGAAACTGTAGCACCTTTGTTCTGTGTGAAGGTGTGAGCTCTCATCAACCCCCCGTCCCACCCTCACCTCTTCCAACTTCAAAACCACAAGACTACAGGTTTCTCATTGACAGAGCAGCGATGAAGGCCAGGCTGTGTGTGGTTTTTAGTGATAAACATGTCTCTCCACGCCGGTACACAATCATCTGCCAAACAGCAACATGTGCCATTATCTTTTCCAAAGGCAGATGGAGGTCATTAAGCAGAGGGCTGTCGGTGAGCAGGATGATTCAGCCAGCTGTCTCGCTCTCTTGTCTTTCTGTCTTTCTGTCTGTCTCTCGTGTTTCTCTGGACCGAGGAGTGGCAATGGCACGAAACGTGTCGGAGCAGCCAAGTGCCTGGCAGCCCACCAGGTTGTAAAAATTCAATAAGTGGAGTAACGGGACTCTTAGGAATCTTTTACTCATGTGGTTAGAGGTTTTCACAGCTGGGGTGTCGGCTGCATGGTCCGCTCAGCCGTCCAGCAGTGATTTCTTTCTTCTATTCTTCTACTTTAAGATCCTTGATGTAGCCATCATTGAGAGAGTTTAAACGTAAAATATGTCACATTTCTGCATTAAGAATGTCTAAAAAAACAACTAAACCTAAGTTATATATTTTGTGAAGTATCCCAAATGCTTCCAACAACTATCAAACCTAGAGAGATACCAAATTCTAATCAAGGTCACAGCCAGTTTAATTTGGTTGTGTAAATTGGATAAAGTGTTGTAAGTGTGGCACAGTTTATTCCTATGAAAGTTTCTCAGTGGAACATAAAGGCAATATGGTTTCCGAGTATGAATTTATAATTGTATTTGTAGGATCTGTGATTTAAATAAGGGCTATTCAAAGTTTGTACTAGCTTCAAAGTCTTCAGCGCTTCCTGCGGTCTTGGGATGTTCCCTTTTTGTGCAAACTTTAGCGTTGTGCTTTATGCCAGTGGTTGTTATATATTGACTTTTTTTCCAGTTTTAAGGCACTTTTTTTTTTTTTACTCTATATCAACCAGATGGAGGGTTTCAGTCATTGGATGATTGGGTTATCAGAGAACCAATCTGAGCATATTTTGGTGAAAGCGTCAGGCTGACTTTTTGTGCATCCGTTTCATGGTTTGTACTCGTTTTTATCCCCGGGTCCGGTTGGTTTGTAGAGGACAGGATCTAGGGGGATAATTTTGTTCCCTGGAAAAGAAATCCTGAACAATGAAATGATGGAATCCTATCTGAGAGAAATATGCGGCATGCTATTTCACTCCCACCTCCATCTTTTGGTGTTGTTTTGTGTTAAAGATCCCTACTAGACTACTGCAACTCCCTCCTGGCTGGTCTACCTGCATGTGCCATCCGACCTCTGCAGCTCATCCAGAATGCAGCGGCTAAATGCAATGTAATGTCATGTTTTNATAAATATGTTTATTCTTCACTGTCGGGTCACTCATTAATGGATCAGTGAGCTGCATGAGATACTGACAGGCTGTCAGGAGGGAGAGAGCGGAAAAGAGAGCGCTTCCGCTCATTTCTCCCGTGTTATTATCCAAAGTGAATGCAAACTTGAATAATGTACATCATTTGAATGTAATAATTAGGTTGGTTGTTGTTTGTGGAAGCTCCAGTGAATGAGCCCCATTAACTGAGCTTTAAAAATCACTTTAAATGGAAGATCCCCATAGGCCCCGCCCACTCGATCGGATTGGCGATCGGTATCGGCCGATACTGATACTGATACTGATCAGCCCCAAAATTGGCGATCGGCGCATCCCTAGTTTCAGCTATTTGAGCTCTTAGCAAAGACACTGGGCTCTGGTCAGCATTTTACAGTAAAGAAAGAGTTCAGCAATATGACCCACCCAGGGCCGTCCCTGGCCAACATGAGGGGCCACGCAAAGTTATATGATGAGGCCCTCTGTTTCGCGAGCGCCACACTAATTGCGCCGCATAAGCGCGCCACATTTTTGGCTCAGTTGAGGCACCCTCCGCAAGATGAGGCCCCCTCCGCAAGGTGAGGCCCCACGCACTCTGCATGATCGGCCTATAGGGGGGAGGGACGGGCCTGGACCCACCAACTACAAAGACTATAAAATGCTCATCACAAATTGAAGGAAAAGGGATAAATACTAAGGGAAAAACAACTAAACTCAAAATATTTCTTCAACATTAGCAGCAAACCACATGGTGCGGCTCCTGTTGCCATGATAACCAAGCAGCAGACCTTGTGTGCATTTCGGCTGACAATTGTAGGTTAAAGACGGGGATGGTCTTAAGTATTCTGGCCACAAACAACACCTGAGGCAAGCCAGTGGCCACAAGCAGGATTTGGGTTCAGCAAGGTCATTTCAGGGTTAACTCGTCTGGTTATTTCCCAGCAGGGTAGATCATCATGGTATCTTATGCTGCACACCTTGTAAAAAGTTTGAGATAAAAGATCACCTTGTGTAAAAGCACCATCTAACTAATCGAAGCTTGGTGCACTAATCGTCAAATAATATTAGATACATACGAGGAAGATTAAGGCCATGATTAAGGCCATGGTCATATTCCAGGCTAAAGGATACGAAATGTGAATGTGTAAATTAACTGAATATGTGTAATATAATGTAACATATAATAATTAAAAGGAATGTTTATCAGTACACATGTTTGTATTTAGCAAAAGGTGGAATCATTTTTATTTATTTTTTTAAACGTTTGACGCACTTCTCATAAACCTTAATAATAACTCCCCTGTCCCGGGTGAATACCGGGGTTAATGGAGAGGCTAATGGCAAGTACGATGACCAAAAAAAAAAAAAAATGCTTTACTGCTTTCCTCACCCTGCTTTTTGTCTCCGGTTGCCACCTCAGCCAGGTAACGGAAGTAGTCTCCCTTCATCTTCAGGTAGAAGACTTTGCTGTCAGCTGGCGTAGCTTTGGGGATCAGATGTTTGTCTAGCAGGTCCTGCAATGAAGGTATGCAACATTATTGTTGAAATGCATCTTGAAACTCAGACAAATGCAAGCAGTTTGAAATAAGATAATAACTTAACAGAATTTTGAGTGGTGTATTTAACCTGAACATTTTAACCAATGGTCATGAATTTGCTTTAAAGGATAACCTCATCCTCACTGTTGACATTTGCTCATTTCTTGCATTCATTAGCTTATACAAAAAAAAAATCAAGAAAGTCAGGACGAAAGATATCATAAAACTGATAGGAATCATTAAACAGAGCATATTGGCATATACAAAATTATATTATCTCACTCCTATACAAAACATTACAGCCTTTTGTTCAAATTGTAGTAAAATTAAATCGCAGTGAATGAGGCGTAATTTCAAAAACTAAATCTACAAGACTGACAGTTCACCGGGCGGTTTGTCTCCTATCTGAACATCTAGAGCGGCAGCGAGAAGCCTCCATTAGCTTGAAACATATCTTGGTAGAATGAGTTCAAACATGAGACTCAAACTATTCTAATATACATGTTGTGAAGGCTCCTACACATCAACTATGTCCACTATACTTTAATATTTGATTCCAACTTTTTTTTCCTAAATATTAGAAAACACATGACTACACGTTGTTAGTGAATATTACTGTCCCTTGTAGCTCTTACTGACGTGACCCCCAGCCCATACAGGCAGTAACCAAATTAAACTAATTATTGACCTTACGCAGCATCCACACGGCAGCGTGCGTTGAAGCTTCAACGCTTCTGCCCATTCACTTTGAATGGGGTGACGTCACGCTTTGCCGAACTGCATTGTGGTTCTGTCGCTTCGCTTTGCTCGCTTTAAAAGTTGAGAAAAGTTCAACTTTTGAAGCTTCGACGGAAGCGTCAGCCAATCAAATCATATGCCTGTACAAGCTCTAGCCAATCAAACTGTATGCTTGTGTGTCCGGGGCGGGAGATTCATGTGATTGGTTGTTGATCGAGTTTCAGACACGCCCACCGGCAAGGTTCAACGCACGCCGCCGTGTGGACACTGCGTTATAGCTATAATGTTTATATCAAAGCAAGCAACCTGTGCGGATATAAATACATCTGTTGAGTGCATTTGACTGGTGTTACATACAGTTGTCATGAACAGGAAAACCAAATACAGTCCCTCACTCATTCTCTCTGTTGTAACACTTAAAGTTCTCACTAGAAAAATAGCCGATTTATTTGTTGGCTTCCCATCTGTAAATCTCGGTTCAAGCATTTGCTGTCCATTTCCTTTGACCCTATTTGCACCTCTACATGACCTCTGCAGCTTACCAGCACTTCTTGGCAGATGTCGTTCAGCTCTTTCTCTATAGCCTCTCTGTACACTTTGGCTTGTGCAGATTTCTTGGTGTCCTCAGTCTTGTGCTCCATGCTGGACACCACCCTCCAGGAGGACCTCCGAGCCCCCACCACATTCTTGTAGGCCACAGAGAGCAGGTTGCGCTCCTCGTTGCTGAGCTCCTCGCACTCCTCTGTCACAGCCTTCATAGCTTTAGCCATGTCATCGTAGCGCTCGGCCTGCTCCGACAGTTTGGCTCGCTGTACATTCTCCTCATGGTTTGCCATGGCTCCTGTCTAGGCTGAGGAAGGAAGGCCAGAGGAGAGGGGGTCGGGAAGGACAACACAAAGAGGACAGGAGACGGATTAGGAAGACAGAGGAGAGAGAGTTGGGGGAGGGCAGGAACAAGGAGAGAGAGAGGGGAGCAACACGGTGAGATAGGGGGAAGGAAATTATCCTTAAACTTGAATGACCACAGTACATGTAAACACACTGTCCTACCTGTGTCATCAAGTTTTTTTGAAAGAAACCTGTTCTCTGGCATGCACGCAAACATACATTTGGAGATACCAAAATAGCAATCAGTTGAAAGGAAGTTATAAGTGTGCTGAAGGAACAAGTCTTAAACCAGGAAATCAATTTGCATTTTACAACTAACAGTTTCCCTGTGTCAAAGTCAATGGTTTTTTGAATGGGTTCCGGTTAGATGCTTCTGCTTAACACAAGCTTAAGAGATTTTCATGCACTGAATAGCACTAAAAAGTGATCTCTGATATAATTGGAGAATATAACACGCAGTCTATGGCACAACTTCCACTTTGTTGAATGATCGTATCACCTGACATTATTCAAGTAATATCATTATAGCGTTTCTCGCACTGCTTGGATTTCTCACAATAGTAGGTATGTTCAGGGTGTGTGCACACACCAGATTTTTTAAATAGCTGTTGGATCTCACCCAGCTTTGTTTATCTGCACACAGTCTGGTGACTAAGTTGAATTGGCATCAAAGTTGTTACAAATTCCACAAAAGAAGTATAGTGTACAGGGGTTTTACATCAGAATGGATTAAGAAATAGAATCGAAATTTGAAAAGATAGTATGATATATCAAATTTTTAAAAAAGGGTGGTTATGGTAGGGCAACTATATTGAAAGTGCCATTGCAACGTGATTGTTTTCCTTATCCGTCCAATTTTCAGGCTCTCTCTATTTGAAAGAGCCACTTATATTTGATTAATCTGGAGATTCTCTCTAGATTAGTTGTTTGACATGTTAATTGTAAAACAAGATTCCCATGGCACAAGTATCAATTAGTATATTCTTCATAAATATTAGTCAATTTGTCCATAAAATGTTATGTCAGAGTGAAAAACTCTAAATCATCTCGGAAATCATCATGTATGTGTTTGACACAAAAAAAGCAGGATATGGTTATAAAACTAAAGTCGAAACCAATGTGTTCTTCATTTTTGCTTAATAACATGACATGACTAACATCTTATAACTTCACTTACAAATGTATGTTCTGTCCATTGATAGGACATAAGTATTAGTAATTGTTGTAACACTTTAAGATATTACTTTGCTTCATTTTACCATAACTACAGGGCTGTAAACTGCATATAAATAAGTACATCATTTGCTAATTATCGCTTAACATTTATTATCTCCATGTGAAAAACGCAGGAGGCTAATTTTTCAAAAATCCCACGATCAGTGAGTCAGATTTACCAGCAGACACCTGCACCCTTCAGAGGAATGTCGGCCACACACACACACACACACACACACACACACACACACACACACACACACACACACACACACACACACACACACACACACACACACACACTTCTGTGTGCCGCAAGGATGCAGGACTTGCTATATAATATGGCCTAACTATTCTAATATCTACTAAATATTTGTACAATATACAAATAAACCCCAATAATGGTGTGACAGACTCTGTTTAACCGGAACGAAAGGAGCTTTGCTTATTTCAGTCCAAAGTGAACGCCCTTTTTCGCTTCCCGGAAAACACCCAGAGCAAATGATTTCAGCGAGCATTATACATTAATGTCGGCTTGCTTCATTTTGTAAAAAGAGAATGGGGTACACTCAAAATCAGCCTTCTAAACACAGTGTGTAAAATACATAGATGGGTTACAACTGCAGTAAGGCTCCACATTCAGTACGTTAAGCGGCGAACAATGACTGAGTAAGCGGAGCATCACTGGTTTCCTCTTACAGTCCACAGTAGCAACGATTCAAGCTACATCTAAAGAGCTGTCTAAGCTCACGGCGTACAAAATAACGTTCTTATCTTCATAATAGCAGCAATAATGAGGAGTAAATAGGAGAACTAACCTGCGAGTGTAGTTAGATGATGTTGTTCCTGATTCCCGGCCGCACAGCTGATGATCGCTCCCGCTCGTCCACGGGGTTTCCCTCCAATCAAAGACACAGCAGCACGGTCTGGGACGATGACGTCAGACTCGGGTTGCTAGGGCAACCACATTTAGAGGCAAAAGATTTAAAGCCATGGAAACAGTCGGTCGATCTTTTTTTATTTAAGTTTCCAACAATCTTATGTTATTCTAATTCCCATATTACTTTAGGCATAGTTTAGAACATAGGCTACTATTTGTTATGGTCTTATATATCTCTGCTTTTGAAATCATCTAAAAGTAAATCTACAAGGTTTTAAATATTGTTGTATGAAGTGGAAAAAAACATACCTAAACAGCGTTTGTCCTCGTGGGAGATGTAGTGACGTGCTGACGAAATTCAGTTGTGTTTTTACAAATGATAAATTATTATGTAAAAAAACGTCAAGAAGAATCATGTAGGTTATTTTGCTAAATCATGTGTGGCTCCATCTTTTATAAACATTCCAAAAACTGAATTTTTAATGTTATTATTTCACGTTATTGATCTAATTTAGGGGACAAAACAATAATGCAAATCCAAAATGATCTTTTCCCATCTACCGTACAGTTTTTAAATGTTAGCAGTTGCTATGGAAACGGTGTCTCTATAGAGATTATGTTGAGATTATTATCAGTCTATACATGTTCACTTTGAAGTTAGTGTTTCTTTGATCACAAAGGAAAAATAACCTAAAAACTACTTTCTAAGAGTATTTGATTTAACTGAGAACTCCTTACACGCACTATTGGCATAGTAAATAAATCACATAAGATTACACAATAAATGAACAATAATTCCTCTTTGATTCATGTATTAATCGATAATGACCATAATTGCTAGGTGTAGTCTGTCAACCCTCTTCTTTTTTTTTTTAAATGAACGCTATATGTTCACAGACTGATGACTCATTTGGGTGAGCCACTCACTGAAAAACCTGCAGAATGGCACTGGCTTTTTTTCTCGGTTCTTCTGAATAATCAGATTAAACAGGAAAACAACGTTATTGCTCAGACTCAGACATTGTGAATACAAGGCACGCTGGTAACACCAGTGAATGCAATGCTGCAGTTCATTCTTGTGGGGCAACACATCTTTTCAGTCACAGTCAGAGCTAAACTGAAGCATCTGTCACACCTAGAAAAAGGAGATCGGAGGAAATGAATGCTTGTAAAGAAAAAGAGTCGAAGACAATATTTTCAGCAGCTGAAATTACTTATCGGTTCACACAGCATTAATTGATTTTGTTAATTATAATGTGGTGCAGTTCAAGTCATTTCCTGTTGACAGCAGCAGATGATGCAAAGCTTTTATGACAGTTTGTTTCAGCTACTCCATCGCATAACAACTTAAACCATATTTCAGATTTAGCGTTGCTACTTTTGCATCAAGTAATGTTTACATTTTGAAAAAGGTTTACATTTATAGTAGCCATCAACAAGATGCTTCAATTATAGTATAGTGAAGATTATTCCTACAAATGAAGGTTCAAGCTTTTTATGATGATCCAACATCAAATTCAGATTTTTGCGATTTACCCGAGAGAAAAGTACCCGCAGTGTAATGTTTTCCTAAAAGGGCAAGATGACAAAAATGGGCACATTAGAGTAGATTGGCCACCTGGCATGACTTCCAAGTCAGATGTCAATTACACTCTTCCTTTTTCCTACCGATGGCTTAACGCAATATTATGAATACTATTATCTATCATTCTTCATAAATGATTGCACATTCAGAGGTGACTGCAGCTGATGTCCAAGAATGACTTCACGCTGACATATTGCAAAATTGGAAGAAAAATAAAGTTACACTATGTGAGCGGAGGAGCAGAACAATGTGGTCAATTTTAATGGACTGTAAATATTGATTTAAGTTAATTTTAACCTACGAGGCAGAAAAACAGATAAATCCTACAAAATCCTTAGGAGGATTTCCTGGAATTATATGAAGAAGAAAAAAACACTTTCTAGAGAAACGCAAATATACAACAAAGTAAAATTTAATAAAATGTTATTATACATAATTGGAGCATTCATTCATTCGTATCCAAGTGTTCACAAGTTGCTTACACTCGCCTGTGACAATTCACATTTTTTTTTACCCAACATGAAATTATGATTAGCTAGGTGAAAGATTGCAGTTTAAAACGGCAGACTGTGGAAGAATTCAATATTGAACAACTGATATGAGAAAAAAATGCCACAGCCTCAGTTTGATTGAATGCTTGAAGCACAAATAAAAAAAGACAAGGTCACATCTGCCATTGTCTTGATTGTAGCTAATTTTAAATCTGAATTTTCCCACCCAAGCCAATCCCATGCTTTGTTTGAAGACACTTTATGCCTTTACAACATTATGTCTTTTTGCTTTATAGGTTTATCAAACAATTGATTTAATTGAAGCTTGAGTTAGAGAGGTACAAGAGCTAGCAGCTAGAAATACTCCTATGTGCATAAGACATCAGGGCAGTGACTGTGGCCCTGGAATTAAAACCAGTATTTAAGTTTAGCCCGGCAAGTTATTTAACCACAAGTGAAAAGAGGACTGGAGAGGGGGGAGGGGGGGAAAGCATTGTGTTAAAGCAACCTGGCCCGTCAAAGCCTACGTAAATATAGCTAACTATTTTAGTTGGTTACATTGATTCATCCATTGCTGTTAGACTGAGACAAGTGCAGAGTTGGTGCAGAGTTGGTGCAGGGCATTGAATGGGTTTGGTATCCATGGTGACCGTTTATGCCTCCACTCCTTCTAACTCGGGGGGCAGAGGGGATTTCGGATGCTTGCTCTCAAAGTGTTGCTTGAAGGTTTTTGGGTCAGGCATCTGGGTCTGCGGGAAGGGAAAATACATCCAACAATTTATCATTTAGGACAAATGTCTGACACCTTCATAGAATTATAAAAAAAGGACCAAACACCAGCAGAGTTATAAAGGGAAAATAAAAGCCTTTTCTCATTATAAGGGTTCACAAAATATTACCTAATTATTTTATACTCAAAGTGATCAGCCTATTTGGTCAATTGGATTTTTTCACCAGAAGTTCAAATGAACTCTGACATGAGGGATTGTGTATGTAAAACAATATATTTAGTTGAAAACCAAGCATTTTTTTAAGGGAATATATTCAAATTCTAGCACTTTTCTAACCTTGACATAATAAGGGTTAGAATTAGGCATTATTATATAACATAGCAGTATTACCAGGCTGCACCCTCAGTCAGGTGTTGGTCTCTGGGTTGTAATAGTAAAGATGTCATACTCACCCGGCACACCAGGCAGGTGAACACTAGTGCTGCCTTGGCGGCTGTCTTTTGGTCATGACCCTTTGCCTTCTTCATCTCCGTCTGTTTCTTTGCATTTTTCTGCTGGGACTGAAGTTTTTGATGCCCGCGCGCCATTCTGGCAAAGCCTAAAGAGGAGGAAGCAAGGACACATGAATTGATGTTTACCGATACACGACAGTGTTGTGACCTTTTCTTAACCTTCTATTCTTGTTGTTGGTACACATCTACCATAAATAAGTCAGTTAAAACGTTTGGAGAGTTATTTCAGTTGCCACAGAGAAAGACTTGCCTAATACCATGTTTACTGTGATAGCAAAGGAGAAAACTTTGGCAATTCTTTCATTATTTTCCATCAGCATTTTGAGGGCCAGGTGCAAGGACTTTCTTACAGGCAGCTAAACGTTTGGTTGTTATAAAAACTGTAAAATAATAATAATAATAATAAATTTAATTTGTTAGCGCTTTTACAGGTAAAAAAATCATGTCAAATCATCATCAAAATGCAAGCAAAGACTTCACAACTGCCAGCCGGCCGAGGTCAGGCAAAGTCAACAAGACAGAAGAGCTTCAGTTGACCTGAACTGAAAGGCAGGGAAATTACAGGCAGGGCTATAAAACCTTGATTTACATGATGGGTAAGGTTAATTAATTTCCCAAAACCATTCTAGATGGGCGAAACTAACCAACCAAGGAAAGTTTTAATTAGCAAAGAAAACTAACTAACATGACCAGATTTGTCAGTTTGTGCTACAGATTTACTAACAAATGACTCGTTTGAAAGAGTGGAATCGGGAAGGGAAACAAGTTCTCTCTTGCCCTTCATAAAAAGAAGATTGTTTCTCTATGAGTTGGGAATAAACTAGTTCCTCTGGCTCAGCAAACAATCCAAGAAGGGCACCTTCAATAAGATATTTTCTTTTATAAAGTTAAGGTGGATAACAGATTTGAAAATTGTAGAGTGTGTTTGTAGGGGGGTTTCTCTAAGAATGCAATCAGACTACAAGTGTTTACCAAATGAAACACGTTAAAACTGGCTCAAATTAGCTATGAGCCCCAATAACTTGACAATGATCACATCCTATAAACATTAGTGATGCTTACTCTCACATTAGAACACTGATGGAGACGCAGACCCTTGCAGGTAGGGGGACAGTGAAATTGTGTACATTTCCTTTTGGTAATTCAGCCTTGCCACCCATCAACGTATATATACTTTGACGTTGGTCAGCATTCCATTAACTGGTAACTAGCTATGGTTAATGAATGAAAATGCTGCCTGCTAAGCATTATCGTAACATGTTACACCATATGTTAGCTATACAACGTGTTGCACTTGTGCGCAAAGCATTGGGCATACTGGAATTACTAATGTCTGTTAAGTAAGTCTTGAGAGGTAGGAACAATAATACACACAATTAGCAAGCTAGTTGTTAGCTACTGTTTTTGGAGAGACTTAATATCCTATCCGTCTCTAAATGTACTGTTCAGTAACAGTCAACCTGTTCAACTTCTTGAAACTCCGTTATCTCAGCACATCTGGCTCGTTGTGATCCAGGTGACTGGTGTGTTTCTCTGCACTAACATGACCGAGCTGTAGCGTGGGTTAGCCTCCATGCTAACCTCAGCTCACTCCGGCTAACACGTTAGCTAGTCGGCTAAACATCAACTAATTATTTCCTTCAGCCTGTGGGAGACTTTAACCAGGAAAGGTACCAGCGGTATATGTTATAGCTTATACAATCTTAAAAGGACAGCAGTACTTACCTCTTTACAATAACAGTAACCTACGTGTCGTTTGTAAGGCACAATTTGTAAGAATTTCTCAATTCACAGACAGCTAAAGGATACTGATGCGTTCAATGACACTGGCGTAATGCGTCTCTTCGGGGCTAAGAAAAAAACATTGATGGATCCAGTGCGAAGATGGAAATAAGGCATACATAGATAACCTTGAATGATTAATATTCACTGTTATACAAAACTAAAATAACCATAGAATAATAGGTTATGTGACAGAAAACCTACAGGTTCGGGAGTAGTGTACGGTAAATTACGTATTTTAAACAGTCTATGCAAATGACCTACTTAGTCAACATTGGAACAAATGCATGTAAAAAATGTATTTCTTCGATTACAAGAGGACTAGTGAACGCACCATGATGCGGATTCATGACGTTGGCAATGTCGCCCCCACGTGGCTTTGGTAAGTACTAAAACACACAACACAAAACTTTGGTGTGTTTTCTTTTATTATTTTAAGATATCTTTATTTATTGTATTTATGATGATGCCCATTTGGAAGTTAGGGTTTAATCCATCGCCTTATTCATGAAAATGATCATTAATTCTGTCATAAGCATTAACATAATGGGACTGTTGTTGTTTACTTTCTGTTAAACCATGTTTACTTTGTTCTTTTTATGTAACCATGTACAACACAAAAACGTCATCACACAACAATTTTACGAGATAAATATCAAATAGTGATGTTCCCTCAAAGCAACACTAGGGGGCAGGTAAATAAGTGTGCATGCATACTGTGCCACCAGCATGCACAACATTTGCACACAGGGTTAAGACTGACACTTAGCTATTATTAATAAAGATAGTGTAGATAAAATAGCTGAATCAGCATTATAATGTAATAATGTACTCTTTGCATTGCTGACCTAATAATGTCTGTCTCGACTGTTACAATCCTGTTTTAAACATACATTTTTAATCACAGTTATACAAATACTGCCTCAGCATAGACAGGGATGTTTTTGACTGCATCAGATATCAATCTAGCTACTATCTGTTTCTTTGGTTTTGGGAACAGTGGAGCTGTTCATATCCGCTCAGTATTTGCCTGAATACAGCTAATATGAAAATTAACTGCAACTCCAGGTACATGATGGAAATTAAGTATCACATGCTTTCCCAATAACACCACAATATAAATAAGTCTGTAAAGAAAATAAAAAAGTTATAGTTTTCTATTATTTGAGGTGCATTTTTTTTGTGTGGCTTTATTAGGAAAAATGTGTTAAAACTTGAAAAAAGAAACATGATTGTTTTTGGCGCATAATCCAAATGTACTATCTAATTATTGTAGAATCTAATTTTACAGTGTATGATAGTGCTTTCTGTTTTGAGGATAAACATAATAAACCAAAAATGAAAGAAGTACTCATCCAAATCACTCTGTTTTATTAATCATCAGTCATGATAGCACTCATTCCTGTTGGAAATCTTCCAGACAGTTAGGTGTCATGATTGTGAAATGTTATCATTGTGAGAAAAGTCTCCGGACTGCCATTCACACGCACGCACGCACACACGCACGCACGCACGCACACACGCACGCAGGCACGCACGCACACACACACACACACACACACACACACACATATCTTCCTGCTTCAATCNCTCTCAAACACAGGCACACACACGCACGCACACACACACACACACACACACACACACACACACACACACACACACACACACACACACACACACATATCTTCCTGCTTCAATCCTTTTAGTCTTTTCTGAATGGAGGGAAATATCTCTCAAGAGAAAAGGATGTGATTATGGTTTCAGAAGGGGGCCAAAAGTTAAAAAAAATAAAAATTACAAAAGCCACACATTGCTCATGTTCCCCCCCACCCTGGGGATGTTGTGCAGGGACTTGCTAGCTTAGGTTTGGGGTGAGGTTGTCCAGCCTTAGGGCCCATGTGAAAGCAAATCTTCCAGGTGTCAGCTATTCAATAGTGCAGCAGAATATTATCTGGCTGTCCATTGTGTGTATGAATACGCAGGGGTTTGCCGCAGACAGCTTGGGATTTTTCTGGATCCTTTCTTCCGCCACAAGGGCTTTCAGGTTCACTTTCGGCTCAAACAAGTTATTTTTGAAGGACTCTTTGTAGCAAACTATCAGTCTCTTTCTCACTGAACACATATCAAGGGTCAGCTAGTTTTAAGAGGTTATGTCAAGGTCAAGAATGGTTTTTTAAAATGCTTTTCAGGGTAGAGAAACTTGTTTGGCAACAACATTTCCCTCAGTGAGGGAGAAATGCTGGCTGTCAGGGACTGAGTGTGGCATCCTTGTTTCTCTGAAGGCTGTTGAGGGAAGAGGAAGTTGGATTTCATCTTCCCCATTGGCCACTTCCTCTCCATGGTCCCCCCTCCATGCTTTCCTTTTCCCCCCGTAACAAACAGGTTTTGCCAGAGTCCGCTGCTGCGTCTATACCAGCATGGCACGCCACAATGTTGCCAGACCAGTTGGGCTGTACACAAGCCGTGAGCCGTCACAACACATCCACATGCAGGTCACTTTCACTGCTGCCCTCCGAGGCCTCCTCCCACGTGACTTGAATGACATGTGCAATATAGCACACACAGGGTTTGTAAAAGTGTTTAATGGCAGTGTTTTTAAAGTGCATTCTGACCAAGAACACGTAAATCAAATTACAAATCAAACCAACCATATCACATGTTAATATATTTCTGGGGATGGGAAAGTAAAGATTCAACTTAATGGTAGAAACTGAGTGCTTTTATTAAAACTGACCCTGAGATGCTCCAAGAAAGCACATCAAGAGGGTAAACCATGCCTTCAGGGGGGGAAAGTTAATTTCTTACCTCAACACACACACGCACAGACACACACACACAGACACACAGACACACACACACAGACACACACATCCACACAGAGTGCGACTGAAGGAGAGCTGAGGTCGGCAGACAAAGGCTGATTGTGAAGGTGGTGACAGCCCTCACTAACCTCACTCAGAGCAGCAGCTCAGGACCAAATGTGTGTTTTTGTGAACAGTCACAGCTTTGGATCGAATATCAGTTTTAACAAATGCAAAGGAATTTCAGATTGATTGGACACTTCAACATTTTACATACAGATGTTATTCATACTACCTTAAAGTAAATAAAGTTAGTAAGTAAAATATGAGATTCTGTAAAAATCCCTGTAATATATTCGTATGCATTGACTGAAAACTTCTTCTCAGATAAATAGAGATGAATAATTATTTTAGCCTAGAAAGCATTTTACAAGGAAATTAGTGAAAATACCTCGAATAATTAATGATATTTGATGTAAAAGTAACTTATATATATTTTCTTTATCACTTTACATAAACATTGGGATACTCGGGCTGAATTCCAGGTTGCTTGATTGTTTGTATCATTTTATATAAACCCAAAGAGATGACAAATTAAAGGAAACGGTGACCTTATACATCACTAGGACACTTAATATTGGTTTATTCTCATGTTTTCTAATCTATCCGTATTTACCTTGTATTTACCTGTTTAAATGTCCCTTTCAATCTGCCCATGCAGTTACCATTATTTCACTTCTCCATCCTCCTCTTCCTCCATCCTGTTTTCCTCACTGCTCTCCTTCTGGAGGACGACTCCTGCCCCAACATCTCTCCGTCCCTGTCTCAGCTGAGTTTCTGTGCTCAGACTCTGACACTTAATCCCAGCCAAGTCCAGACAAGCTGCTTCTCCCTGTGAAAAAACTCCAGGTATGTAGGATACACCTTTCACCTCTCTCACAGAGTGGGACACACACACACACACACAAACTCACACACACAGAGGAAGGTATTTGCCCCTGACTTTCCTGTCTTGTGGCAGCTTGCAGCCTTCACAGTAGCTGTCACACCGCCACATGGCAGACATTCCTTCTGAGAGAAGTCATAAGGAAGGGTAAAGATAAGAGGAAAGCTCATACATTACCATTATTTTTGATCAGGGCAAGGAAAACATACTTCACACTTTGTTTTCTGAGTAGAGTTAATTATTCATGGGCATGGACAGATTCTGAGACAACAGGCCCCCGGGCACAGGCACTTTTTAACACCCCCCATCTCCCCCTCACAGCTCCGTTGTTTGCAGTTGTTTCGCATCTCGCAGTTGTAGTTTTGTATCTCTTTGTGCGTGTATTTCTAGTCGTTTTGTGTCTCTGAGATACTTTTAGGTCTCACTGTAAGTGTTTTTGTCTCTCTTGTCAATTTTAATTTTTTAGTTGTTTTTTGTCTCTTTGTGGTTGTGTGTTATAGTTGTTTTCCATCTTTATTATTGGTGTGTCTCTCTATAGAGGTTTTGCTTATATTCTATTTTTCCGTCTATTTGTTGAGGGTTTTGAGACTGTTTTGCAGTTGTTTTGCATCTTTGTGTAGTCATTTGTTGGACTTAACCCTGTAAGGCCCACGGCTGTAATTTTACAAAAAAGTCAGTAAATAGTTTTTGTTTTTTTAAAGACTACATTTACATAGTCAATAGGTCCTTTTGTTCAGCCTCACAATCCTATTGGGTAGTACATGTGTTTATATGTCCTGCCCTCTGGCCATACACTCACAAAACTTCAGAATCTTCAAACGAGCAACATCTCTTTGTTTTATTGGACTGGATTTGTCAGATTCAAGTAAGTAAAATTCTTCAAAAAAAAATGTGTGCGAATATTACAATGTCTAGAACATGTACATATTTAGTTATTGTGGAATACTTTCATCAAATTTGATTTTGAGCAGCTTATGTCTTTGTTGTAATATTACAACACTGGGTCAGTGTGGTAGTCAAAATAGCATGAGCACCTGTCATGGAGATTGCCCTTCTTATATGTTCACATATGGAAATAAAACACAAATATAAATATAATGTCTTTGATAATTCACTATAACTAAGTTCTAAATGTGTCCTCTGTTACGATTTTGAATAAATTAATACATTATTTCTGATAAAAGTATGTGAAATTATATCTATAGCAATATTTTAAACTCTACTTCTTATCAGTTAATTAGTTACAACAATTCATTGAACTCTTCTCTGGTTCTGGCAGAAACAGTTCTTTCTGAAATGTGTTGGGACACTTGAATGTATCTCTTTTAGTTTGAT